TCCCATGTTTTTGGAAAGGAAGACCACCACCAAGAGAATCAGTCTAAACCTAGACATTTTAGCAATAGACATGTACCAAGAGTTGTTTGGACAATGTAGAAATGAAGTAAAATATAGAATGCTTAATTAGCGGTCCTGAGAACTTCTCTATACTCCTATGAAGTTTAAGTATCAGCTTCCCAACACATTGTAACAGTAATTGCAAAGGTTCAGAACTCCACTTGTCATTTTGTTAATGTGTACTGTTAAGTCTTTCATGGTTAGCATTTCTTTTGTGTGTAGAAATCAATTACCTGTCCTATACCAAATTCATATTATACATGGAGTATCTTTTCTCCCCCTTTTTAAGGAAACCCTAGAAGTGAACCATTAACTGAACTATGAATAGAATCGTCCCTTGGGCTGTGGGGTGTGGTCGAGAGGAGTGTGAGAAAAGGCCCTCTTTAGAGGGCAGATTTCTCAGACTGAAACTGGTCTAAAACACATGAGTGGGTACAAAACAGGAAGGGGCACAGTACCCCATCCCCTAGGAATCCTGAAGCTGTTTCCTCAAAGTTAGGTGTGTACCACTCACCTGCCTCACAGGGTTGTCTTGGGGAAAGCCACTTATAAGACTTAAAATACTTGATATAATGAGTTATTATCATTATTATCATCTACGATAGGGTTGTTGTGAGACAAAGTTTTCCCTTCCTGCTGCAGACCACAGTGATCTTTCCATTTCTTAATGTCCAGAGTACTTCAAGGCTGCAGATGTGACATAGCTATCTAGCAAGATATTGTTTTATAGTATTCTCTGTTTCTAAAGTCTCTCTAATTAGACTATCAGCTCTTGGAGGGCAGAACCTATCTCTTCTACTTCTTTTGCATCTCTCATAGCATCTAGCATATGTCTATGTCCTTGACCTCTCCCAGCTACCTAGAGTCTTCCCCATACTCGTTTAGGGCAGAACCTGGTTACATGAAATGGTCAGAATACTCAGGAGTGATAAGATACAGTGATGACTCTGCACTCTGTTATTTATTAAATTTCCAGGAACACATTTTACCTTTTGACTTGACTAGAGAATCATTGATTTAGAAACTGAAAGGGACCTTAAGTGGTCCAATCTCTTCATTTTCCAGGTAAGTTAACTGAAGTCCACAGAGATTAAAGCAATTTCCTCAATATTTTACAGGTAGCAAGATCATAGGATTATAAATTTAAAGCTAGAAGAGACCTAAGTTATCGAGATCATTCAATCCAACCCCTTCGTTTTACAGATTAGTTAACCAAAGTCCAGTGTTTTATGGGTAGCAAGTGGAAGATCCAGGATGTAGTCTATGTGTTTTCTCTCAAAGGAAATCTCACAATCCCAAACAATAATGTTGTTTCTATGTCAATTTTCAAACATTGTCTGCCTGCTTCAGCTTCTTTGTTATTCCATTTGCGTGTGTAATGGGGCTCTTCCCCCCAACCTCAGCTTATGAAAATTATTGGCCTACTTCTGGTGGAGCTGGGGGGAAAGGGTGGCTTCTGGCCATCTATGAGTCAGTGAGGGGAGTCCCCTGATTGTTTTCTGATCCAGGAGAGGTGATGAAGCATGGTATCACACCTGCCTCTTGAACATAGCCCTCCAGGTGATGGGATGTGATTTCAGTGAGGGGTAGAAGCATAGCCCCTCTCTACCCTGCCATAATGGCAATGGGAGCCACCACTCCCCACATGAATCATCAATCAATCAATAAATACTTATTAAGCGCCTTCTATATGCCACATACAGGCAGAGTGCTGAGCTGGGGTTACAAAAAGAGGCAAAAGACAATCCCTGCCCTCAAGGAGCTTGTAATCTAATCATGAACTCAACTACCTAGCCATATACTAAGACCTTTGCCTGCCTTTGCATTGACTTTGTGAATATCCAAAGGTCTGAAGCTTCCCCTAAACTTGAGGAAAAGGAAAGAAACAATGGCAGGAATGGACTAGCTTCAGGAAGAGCCGACTTCTAAGAGAAGCCATCAGAAATATCAAGTTATTCGATGGGACAGTGCCAAATGAGGTCAAACGTAACGAGCCACTTAACAATCTCGCAAAAATTGCTTTCTTTCTCAACCAAGATTTTATTTTTCTTTGCAGATTAAAACATTCTGAGTAGATTTACAAATACAAACTTGAGTTATTACATATGAATTTAGTGGCTAAAATGGTGAATACAATTCAACATAGCATACCAAATGCATATTATGTTCAAGGCATTATGCTAGGCGCTGAAGATAAAAGAAAAAGCTGAAACGAGAATCACCCTTAAGGATTTTATCATTAATTGATGGGAACAACAAATAAGAAATGAACAAATACAGACTATGTGCCAATTAAGTAGACTTTTGGAAACATGTAAAAAGATGGAAGGAGGTATATTTCACAACTATAATTAGGGGCAGTATTCTTCTTCTCTTCTTTTTTTTCTTCATCGTATTTTATTTTTTCCAGTCACATGTAAAGATAGTTTTCTATATTCATTTTTGTCAGATTTTGAATTCCAAATTTTCTATCTATCTCACTTTTCTCTCCCCTCTCCAAGAGAGAAAGCAATCTGATACAGGTTATATGTGTACAATCATGTTAAAACATATTTCCACATTAGTCCACATTTCACATTAGTGGAAGAAGAATCAGAACAAAAAGAGAAAGCCACAGGAAAGAAAAAAATAAAAAATGTGAAAACACTCTGCTTCGATCTGCATTCAGACTCCATACTTCTTTCTCTGGATGTGGTTAGCATTTTCCATCAGGAGTCTTTCGGAATTGTGTTGGATCATTGTATCGCTCAGAAGAGCTAAGTCTTACCATGGTTGATCATTGCACAGTGTTGCTGTTACTGTGTACAATGTTCTTCTGGTTCTGCTCATTTCACTCAGCATCAGTTCATGGAAGTCTTTTCAATTTTTTTGAAATCCACCTATTCATCATTTCTTCTAGAATAATAGTGCTCCATTACATTCATGTATCACAACTTGTTCAGCCATGCCCCAATTGATGGGCGTCCGCTCAATTTCCAATTCTTTGCCACCACAAAAAGAGCTGCTATATATAGTTTTGTACATGTGGGTCCTTTTCCATTTTTTATTATCTCTTTGGGATATAGATCTAGTAGCAATCTGTCTACTCAGATGGCTGGTTCAAAGGGGATGCATAGTTTTATATCCCTTTGGGCATTAGTTCCAAATTACTCTCCAAAATGGTGGATCAGTTCACAACTCCACCAACAATGCATTAGTGTTCCAATTCTCCTACATTTTCTCCAACATTTATCATTTTCTTTTTCTGTCATATTAGCCAATCTGATGGGTGTGAGGTGGTGCCTCCGAGTTGTTTCAATTTGCATTTCTCTAACCAATAGTGATTTAGAGCATTTTTTCATAGGACTATAGAGAGCTTTAATTTCTTCATCTGAAAACTGCCTATTCATATCCTTTGACCATCCAACCAAGTTTTAATATTAGCTTCCTAGCTGACTGTATTAATAGTAATAAATTGAGGTGTGTACAAAGCAGACTTGGTTGTGATGCGATAGGCAGAAATAGTGGTCAACTTAGTTTTTGAAATATTGAGTTTTGAGGAACTGGTAGGAGATCAGGCATAGCTATCCTGATAGCAGCTGGAGATACAGGTATAGAGCTCAGAATCGAGGCTGTGACTAGAGAGAGACATTTGAGGATGCATCTATGTAGCTATGGTAGTTGATATTATAAGAACCAATTCTGTTGCTAAGAGGGTAAGTATAGAGGCCTAACAACAGACCTTTGAGGAACACCCTTCATTTAGAGGATGACCTGACGGAGGAGAGAGAGTAGTTAGGAAAGAGGAAGCAGAACCAAGAGAATGGTGTCTCTGAAGCCAATGGAGAAGAGAGTATTTAGTAACAAAGGGTAGTCAGTTCTATTTGAAATAGCAGAAAAGTCAAGGAAGATGCCCGAAAAAAAAAAAGTCATATGATTTTATTATTAAGAGGTCATTGGTGAATTGCAACAATCCCGAGATTCCACTTCCTGCCCGTGAGACTGGCAAAAATGAAAGAAAAAGGGAAAAAAATGTAAATTGCTGGAGGGACTATAGGAAGACAAGCACATTAATGCACTCTTGGTGGAACTGTGGATTGATTCAATCATTGTGGAAAACAATTCCCAACTATACCTCAAAATTACTAGATTGTACCTATCCTTTCATCCAGTGATACTATGTTTCCTGGTTTACTACAGCCAGGTCACCTCCACCTCCTCCCTACTGGTAAACTGGATTCTGCTCCCTGAATTCATCAGCTCTGATACATCAACTTTTGCCTTATCGAGGCCTATGCTTCCACAATATTTCCCAGGCCCCTCCCTGCTATGTTGCCACTGAAGTAGGCCTTTCTCCACCTCCCCTTTATATGTCATCTTCCCCCATTAAATTGTAAGCTCTTCAAGGGCAGGCATTTTCATACTTTCTTGCATTTCTATCCCTAGATCTCAGCACAGCGCTTGGCATGTATTTAATAAATGCACTATCTATCCATCTGTCTTTCTATATTAAATTTTGTTTAAATCATTCTATTAATATACACTGATTCTCTTATGCTTATCATTATCTGTGTGGGAAAGAAGACCTGTTCTAGGTCTGACTCAAATTATTGTGCATTGGGTACATCTTTTGCTTCATCTTTTAGGGGAAATACAAAAATATCAGCTTTTCAGAGTAGTTTAGTAAGGTGATTCTCATGGTTTAACACCCAATGAGCATTCGAAATGGGGAACCTACTTCTCCTACTTCTCCTATTGTGAAGTTCAGTTTCCTTTAGCAAAGAACCTGGTACATGGTTGGTTAGTTGAGTTACACAGAGAGTTGGAAGTTGTCAGCCCTGTGAGATGTGACCAGTGGCCTCCAGAACCTGCACCAGACGCGTAACCCAAGTTAGCTGGCGGAAAAATTCTGAGGACTATCCTTCCAAGTGCTTACATGAAGTGAGCTAGCATATACGAAATAAAGATTTTAAAAGGTGTTTATTATATAATTCAGATTTTTCACAAATTCAGACTAGCCCCAAGGCAGAGAGATTTTTTTTGAGAGAGGACCCTATCTCAACTCCCCTCTCCACCTCTCCCTCCCTTAATTAAAAAAAAGAAAGAAAAACAAAGCCTTTGTAACAAATAGCCACAAGGAAGCCATAGCAATCCCCACATTAGCCGTGTCCAAAAATGTACGCCTTGTGGGTAGCGTGATTCATCATTAGTCCTCTGGATTTGTGGTTGATCATTTCACTGATCAGAGTTGTTAAGCCTTTCACAATCATTGTTATTGTGTAAGTCATTTCATTGGTTCTATTTCACTTCATTCTGTGCCAGTTCACACTTCTCCGGTTTCCCTGAAACAGCACAAGAATATTCCATTGCACTCATATTCTCAATATTCCATTGCTCATATTCTCAATATTCCATTGCACTCATGTTCTCAATATTCCATTGCACTCATATTCTCAATATTCCATTGCATTCATGTTCTCAATATTCCGTTGCATTCATTCCTAAATGATGGGCTTTGTCTTGGGTTTTAATTTTTTTTTCTTAGTTTCTAGTTCCTTGCTACAAAAAAAGAAAATATCTGCTGTAAATATTTTTGTACATATGAGTCCTTTTTCCTCCTTTGATCTCTTTGGGGTATGCACAGCTTAGTGACTTTTGGAACATAGTTCCAAATTGCATATATATATATATACACACACACACACACACATACATATATAAAATGTATATATGTATGTGTGTGTGTACGTATGTGTGTAATATATATATATATATACATATATATGTATATAAATAAAAATTGTCTCATATGATCTTCTCTATCATTTATTCGGTAATTCCCTATCCACAGTTGGGAAAGGAGTGCTTTTTTTATGGGGCAGCTAGAGGGTACAGTGGATAGAGCGTCTAGGCCTGGAGGCAGGAATACTTGAGTTCAAATCCAGCCTGAGACACTTACCAGCCGTGTGACTCTGGGCAAGTCACTTAACTTATGTTTGCTTCTGTTTCCTCATCTATAAGACGGGGATAATAAGATCTCCCATCTCCCAGGCTTGTTGTGAGGATCCAATGAGATAATAATTATAATTTACAATAATATAATAACTATAATCTATAATAATCTATAATATTATATTATAATAATTATATACTTAGCACAGTATCTGACACATAGCAAGAGCTATATAAAGGTTATCTCTTACTACATTTCTTCCTTGCTTTACTATTTTATATGCCATTTCCCAGGCCCACCCACTGCTTGGGCCTTCCCTCTGAGATTATCTCCACTTTACCCTGTGAAAATGTTGATTGTATATCATCTACATATCATCGCTCCCATTAAAAGGTGAGCTCCTTGAGAGCAGAGGCTTCATTTTGCTTTTCCTTCCATCCCCAGAACTTGGCACAATGCTTAGCCCATTGTAAGTGTGTCATAAATGTTTGTTGACCAACTGACCTTTTATAGCTAAGTCATGTGTCCCTTCAGACCTTAACTTGGCGCATGGTATGAAATGCTGGTCTAAATCTAATTTCCTCCAGACTACAAACTTCCCAGCAGTTTTTGTTGACTGGTGAATCCTTACAGCAGTAGTTGGAGTCTTTCAATTTATCAAACAATATTCTCGGCTTTGTATGTGGAATGCTGATTTCATTTAGTATTTGAACTCAGAATATTTTTTAGTGGACGTCACATTCACTTGCGCTCCGGTGAGGATAGCCCTCTGACCCATGCTGCACATGTGGAAGGGGACGTGACTCCCAGCTGTCTAAAAGCTGAGCACAGTGCCTTGTACTTGTGTAAATGAGATTGCTGAAAGACACTTTGGAGGAGTATTCTGGAGAGGGAGCTGTGAGAGGCAAGACGAGCTTGTGGACAGTCACCAGGCTGGAGCTGCACACACGTGGGGAAGCCAGCCATCTACGCGCTCCTAGGCTTCTAACTGCTACAGTTCTAGAGAATGGACTCCCTTTGGGGAGATCACACCTTCTCTCCTTGGTTTAACTGATGTTTTTATCTTGCTTCCAGGTGAGGAGACCATTTACTCTTGTGTTTTCTTTGATACATTCTGATCTGTACAGCTTCCCTGATTTCTATTTGCTGTTTTCATTGACAAAGAGTTTCACTAGCTATTCATAATGGTCTTTTTCTTGTAACCAGTGTTTGGTAGGAAGGGGCTAAAATGTTGCCTATCTATAAGCTAAGGGCTACACTCCCCTCAAGAGCGTTCAGGGAGTGACTTTTGTTCTGAACCCTCAGAATTGTACCCCTAGACGAGAGATATTTGAGGGGTGGCAGGTAGAAATGTCTGGCTTGACGTCTTTCTTGGAGGCTGGATCTTAACCTCTGCAGTCCTGGATCCTGCCACTCCCTCCCCTCAGCTGGCTGGGTGGGCAGAGCCCTCCTCCTACCCCCGGACAAGTGGACCAGATCCCAGATCACATCTATCCACACTGCCCATGAGCCAGCTGCCTCTACACAGGAAGCATCTCCACTCATATTACACACACACAAGAGAGAGAACCTGCTTCTCTCAGTGGCATCCAGGTGCATTAAATGGAGCCCTGGACCTGGAATCAGGAATTCATTTTTAGGAGTTCAAATCCAGCCTCGGACACTTACTAGCTGTGACACCCTGGGCAAGTCACTAACCCTCAGTTTCCTCACTTGTATAACTGGAATAATAATTGCATCTACCCCTCAGAGTTGTTGTAAGCATAAAATTAGATGATCTTTATCATACAATGCTTTGCAAACCTTAAGAGAGTACATAAATGGTAACTATTATTATCATCATTATGGAAAAGGATTAGGAAGCCAGAGGAATTAACATCTAATTAACATCTACCTCTGATCTATAGGATTCCAAATAGCCTAATCTCCTCTGAATCCAAACTACCTGTAGGGACAGTGTTGCCCACCCCATCTCCAAGACAAAAAAATAAATATATAAAAAGCAACATGTAGATAAAACCCAAAAATTATTATTTTAATCACACCACAGTACAGAGGAGCAACTTCTATTATTATTCGTAAAATGTTTTTTTGCAGTTCTAGATTATTTCATTTGTAAAAATTATACAAATTTTAATAGCTTAAATTATATGTCAGATCAAAATGGAAACTTGCATTACAGCTGATCCCAGGTTGTGATGTGGTATCCTTCCCCCTTGGGTATGACTGCTGTTTTATCTTCTTTGTTTCACCCTTTATGACTTTTTCTCTGAATGCTGCTATTAAGTTTGATTCTGTGTTTGTCACTCATTGTTCACAGGCCAGAGTCCAGTTGGAAACTTCCTGCCAAGCTAGCGTGTTAAATCTGTTACCAACTACTGCAAAATAAACACTTTAATTTCCTGGAAGATTCCCAGCAACTGCACTGGGGTGTGGGTGGGAGGAGTGAGGGGTGAAGGAGGAAGAAGACACAGTCCTTTTTTTTTAAACCACAGTAGTTATGACAAACTCTGTGACCGAAAGCTTCCCTGGAGGAGCGCAAGTCATCCTGACTTGCCCTACTCTGCCCTACCATTTTCACTTTCTACCAAAAAACGGGAGCAGGAGAAAATGCTGCTGGGCCTAAAATAAAGGGCACCAACATTCCAGGTTCCCAGACCTTTAATTTAATTCCATTTTCAAGGGAATGACTCCTATTCGTTCCAGAGAGGCCTTAGTCCCACCCTTGGGATGGTGGCAGGTCCTCTCTTCAGTTCTGTCCCTCGTGGCCCCCAAAAGCTGGCCTTGAAGCTACTGGCTGGAGTAGTTGCTGATATTCAGGGGCCCAGTTATCGGCATTGTCCCCCAAAGTGAGTGGGATCAGGAATTCTTTGGCATCTTTCTGCAAGGCCAAGTTTCCCATATATCTTTGGTGGCAGTGTTGATGAATGGCTGCCATGAGTGAGCTTGGTGTAGACAGTGATGGTGTGCTTCTAGGAAGGATGAAGGAAGTAGGGCTTCCAGACACTGTGTTACCTGAGGGTGTTGGGAAGTTTTGGCAGAGGGGACGAATCACTCCACGAATATGTGTCCTTCCACAACTCCAACCCAGGGACATGGCTCCTGGGCTGGGCTCTATCACCGGAACCTGAAGGCATCACTGTTGGGCAACTTTTGAAAACAAAACCTTCCCTTCCCTCTTTCCTAGATTTACCTCTCAGACGTATCACAGACCTAGAACTTAAAGAATTTCCAAAGACCTTGAGTCTCCTATTTTACAGGGAGAGAAACTGAGATCCAGGGAGGTTCTAGGTCACACAGACAAGGGAATGGTCCTCCAGTCTGCCCCATGACTGATTTCTCCCTTTGCTTCAGGACGTTTTCAATCTCACATAGAGTACAATGGCATTTGTGTATACTAAAAAAGAAAAGAAAGTGACAGTAGCAAAACATGTTGATGTGATTCTCTGATTTTCCATACCCATGGTGTATGGTAACCCATTTGCTATGCAGATACTGGAGAAGTAGAAATATTTGGATAAAACCTATCAGTTGTGGGATACAAATTAGGATGCAAAACGGAACTTCCTTCTTCTCTGACCACTGCCTAGTAAAACCTTAGGAAGGCTCAAAATGTGGAAATGAATACATTTCTCTTTTTAGAAGGCTGCTTTTTTCCTGGAGGCTGCAAACACACTCTGAACCTCCTGGCCACTGAGTGGCTCGGATCTTATCTTTTGTTCCACTTAATCACTGTTGAAAAAATATTTGTACTCTCCCCTGCCTTACATAGGTTTCACTTCTACTGTGGACTCCCCGCAGAGAAGACCTTGCTTTCCAGCTCTGCACCTGGCTTTGGACTGTGAGTATTTACTTGGTCAGATAAACAATAAATAGGTGCATTTTTTTTTACTGTCTCTCAACACAGAAAGCCTTCTATTTTCTTCAGCATTATTTTTCTCGAGCACTTGACTTTGTATGGGCCTGGTATATAGTGGGCATTTGATAAATAATTGTTGATTGATCGTTTCCGAAGATAATACTAAGTAAAGACTTTGTAGGATGGCCAATATCTTATATTCTGTTGCTCACGTGAAAGGAGACTGGCTTTCTGTTCAAGGCTAAAGCCTGGAATTTTTGTTTAATTGGTAATAATAACAGATATTGCTTCTTTGTTAGCTATATCTTTGATAAGTTACATTACCAAACTGATTATTGATTTCACTGTTAATTTCCATGTACATTCACATTTAAGCAAAACTGCCTGATTTAATTTTTTTTTCTACAAAAGTTTATTAAGGGTCCTGGTATGTCTTAGATATCCTCTCACATTTCATCTGTATAAATTATTTAAAAAATTTAAAGAGGATATGAGATTTGTATGTTTTGATGTTTCACTCAGGTTAAAGAGCATGGGGTACTTGAATTTTCACACTTGGATTTGGGCCAGTTTATTGCTTTTTATTATTTTAAAAGTTTATTTTTTTATTTTAAAAATTCTTTACTTTTTAAAATTTTAAGTTCCAAATCCTCTCCCTCCCTCCTGCCCCTTCACAACCCACTGAGAAGTTAAGCAATATATTAATTATACATGTAAAATCATGCAAAACATATTTCCATATTAGCTATGTTGCAAAAAAAACAAATACAGTAAGAAAATTATACTTCAATTTGCACTCAGAGTTCGTCAGTTCTCTCTCTGAAGGTGGGTAGCATTTTTTTCATTGAGTCCTTTGGAAATATCTTGTATCATCATCATTTAGTGCTTTCCAATTTGGCTTCTGGGTGTTATTTTTTCAACATATAGAATGCTTCTTGCCTCACTGTATTCTGGTTTGTGGGAGAGTGCCTACTGTGCGAGACGACTGCATTGAAATGAAAAATTTTATCCACCAAAAACTGAAATGAAGGCATGTGAGTGACGTCAGTGAGAAAAATCCGAGTATGATTCTTCTCAACTGATATGCCAGGCATGCAAAGGAGAGAAAATGAGGTGTCCTGGCAATGAATGCCAACCCACAGGGTAGGAAGCATTAAACAAGGGGAGATTTTTTTAATAAGATAAATAAATAATTTTGGAATAATATAAATAATTAAGAAATAAAACAGGCAAGTTAAAGATGGGGAAAAGCTTTCAGACACTTGAGAGTATTCTAACCCTTTGCTAATTGTCTCTAATTTACCCAGTATTGGTTTGTATTGAGTTATAGGCAGCTAGGTAGCACAGTGGGTAGAGTGCCAGGCCTGGAGTCAGAAAGACCCATCTTCCTTAATTCAAATCTGGCTTCAGATACTTACCAGCTCTGTGACTCTGGGCAAGTCACTTCACCCTGTTTGCCTCAGTTTCCTCATCTATAAAATGAGCTAGAGAAGGAAATGGCAAACCACTCCAGTATCTTTGCCAAGAAAACCGCAAATGGGGTCAGTAAGCATGCTGTTACTCTGGTTAACCTGTGAGGTCCTTGACAGTAGGGATTATTTTTCCACCTTTCCTTATATCCCCTTGAGGTATATATATCCCCTCCGGGCTCAGCACTGTGCCTGACACTTAACAAATGTTTACTGACCTACTGGTTTAACAGCTTAACCATCTCATGGTTTAAAGTTTTCCCAAAGGCATTCTCATGCCTCCTCCCCAGCCACTCCATAGCTTGGTCCACCTTGGGTCATTCTATCTATCACTCTCTCCAACAGTCGGAAATGGAAGCAGTGTGAATGGAGGAGTTTCACAACATGGACGCCCTGTGATTTCATCTTGCTTACAGTAAAGGAAGCCTCTTTTTAAACTTCCTGAGGCCTTGACAAGGCTTGAATGAACCCCTAACACTCTTTCCTCTCACATCCTTTCCAAACTGAAAGCAGTGAAAGAAACGTTCCTATGTTGTTCTCTCCATGAAGCAAGAATGGACTTTGTCTAGAAAATGAGATTTCCAGAGGAGTTTTGGTAAGGGATTTTTATTCATTCAGTCAATGTTTGCAGAAGGAGCTGGGTTTGAATTCAGAGAACCTTCGTTTGGGGTTCTGGCCCAGATTCTTGATAAGTGTGTGACCTTAACCGTAGGGTCTTAGATATACGAAGGGCCATTAGAGGTGATCCAGTACCACTCTTTTGTTTCCAGAAGAGGAAACAGTCCCTTGCTTACAGTCACAGAGAATGGCCGGAATTGAACTCTAACCGAAATGCCATTCCTATCAGGAACCAGCCCTGGAGAGCAGTGGACAGGCAGATCTGTTGCTAGACTGACTGATGCTGGGCTAGGCCAGGCATTCTGCTCCTCTACAGGGCAACCCACTGGAACCCCAGCATCTATAATCTTCACCACTTCTAACACCTTTTGTATGGGGTTTTTTTAATTTTTAATTTTTTTTAATTTTTAGGCAACTGGGGTTAAGTGACTTGCCCAGGGTCACACAGCTAGTAAGTGTCAAGTGTTTGGTCTGAGGCCAGATTTGAACTCAGGTTGTCCTGACTTCAGGGCCAGTGCTCTATCCACTGCACCACCTAGCTGCCCCTCACCTTCTGTATGGTAAAGGACACTTTTCAGCAATGGCATCTCCCACCCTACTGAGCCTCACTTTCTTTATCTGTTCAATGGGAATAAGAATGGTGCCTTCCAAGGGTTCTTATAAGGATGGGATATGATAATGTATGTTTAGCACTTTGAAAACAGTACAATGCTCCATAAATGTCAGCTATGATGGGGAAAACACGTCCTGACCTCCAAGAGTTTATAATAATTTGTATTCTAAGAATATACACAGGGTGTCCCAAAAGTCTTAGTGCAGTCTTAAGATTTTAATAAACTTAAAACAATACTAAGACTTTGGGGACACCCTGTGTACATTGCTTTGCAAACCTAAAATGCAATCTAGATTTATTATTATTATTATTGTTGTTGTTGTTATTGTTATTATTATTATTATTATTATTATCATTATTATTATTCCACAGTCAATAGGGTGCCAGGCTGGAGTCAGGAATCCTGACATCTTCCTTGACTTCAAATCCAGCCTCTGACACTTTCTAGCTGAGTGACCTTGGGCAAGTCACTTAACCCTCAGTTTCCTTATCTGTAAAATGAGCTGGAGAAGGAAATGGCAACTCCAGTACCTCTGCCAAGAAAACCCCAAATGGGGTCAGGAAGAATCAGACAAGACTAAAATGACTGAACAATAACAACAAAATAGTTATTTGCAGTTTCACACACAATCTTCTTTTCCTGTTCCTTTATATCTATGGGAGACTTGTGTATGTTGGTGCCTTTCACATTTAGAATAACAAAAAAAAACCCTATATATACACATATATATACAGGTATATTGTGTATATGTATATATGCATATATACATATTGTATATATGTGTGTACATACATACAAGTGTATATACATATATGTGTGTACGTATATATATATATATATATATATATATATATGGATATATATCTCAAGACATCCTCCTCCTGATATCATTAGCGCTCTTTGAGTATGAAGGATGAACGATAAATATTTATACATACACACATATTCATACATACACACATATATAAAACATACATACACACATGCATATATACATATATGAGTAGCTGTGTATATATGTATTTATATATAAATATATGCATATATACATCTATACATATACATGTATGTGTGCATACGTACACACAAGCATGCACACATACATACATGTCCTAACCACCTCAACTACCCACTGACCTTTGCTCTGGATCCTCTTAGCCTGGCCATGCATTGCTCAACTCAAGCCCTATATTACCCCCTCTATCTGCCTTGTTTGCACTCACACAATAACTGAATCTTGCCCCTTGCCAAAGGCTGCCAGAGGAAGTTGCAACCATACCTGTGTTATTTGACCTCATTTGGGCAGCCCAGTCCATAGTAAGCACTCAATAAAAGCTTGACTATTGATTGTCCCACTGGCTTTCCCTGATACAAATCTTGACCTTTTATTAATCGATTCACTAACACACACTCCAACAGTTTTTTCTGTCTTCAAGCCTCCCATGTCACTCCCTTTATCCTAATTCACGCAGAGCACTTTAGCTCCTACTTTGCTGAGAAAATAGAAGCCATCCCTGCAAGTTCCTTCTTGTCCTCCCTTCTACTCTTCAGAATCCCTCAATCAAGCGAGAAGCATTCAGGTGCCAGGCACAAAGACCAGAATGAAACATGGCGGCTTCTAAGAGCTTACCTTCTACAAGGGTGTACACACATAAGTATAAGTGAAATATGTCCAGGGTCATTTGTCTGGAAAGGACCCCAGTAACTGGAGGGGAGCGGGGAGGGGGGGGTCAGGAAAGAATTCACGAAGAAGGGGATGCTTGAACAATTCCAAAAGACTCATGATGGAAAATGCTCTCCACATTTAGAGAAAGAACTGATGGAGCTGGAATGCAGATCAAAGCATACTAGTTTCACTTTTTTGGTGTTTTTTTTTCCTTTTTGTTACATTTCTTCTTTCACAACATGACTAATGTGGAAACATGTTTTATGTGATTGTGCATGTGTATCCTACATCAGATTGCTTGCTGTCTTGGGGAGAGGGAGGGAGAAAAATTTGGAACTCAAGATCTGTCAAAAAATGAATGTTAAAAATTGTCTTTACATGTAATTGAAAAAAAATAAAATATTATTAAATAAAAAGGGGGGATGCTTGAGCTGAGTTTTGAAGGAAACAAGGCAGCCTAAGAGGCAGAAGTGAGGATGGGGTGCGTGTGTGTGTGTGTGTGTGTGTGTGTGTGTGTGTGTGTGTGCTCTGTGCATGGGGAACAGCCACTGCGAAGGCATTGGAGGCTGGAGATAATAATTCAACCTGCTCATTTTACACTTGAAGAAGTCAAGG